AAATCACAAGTCCTTGCCGACTTTGTAGCCAACTTCAGCGCAAAAATAATGCCTGAAGTAGAAAAAGAAATTGCCCACGCTTCCCCGCAAACACAAGATCAATGGATTTTGTACACCGATGGTGCCTCCAATGCGTCAAGGTCCGGACTGGGACTCGTACTCGAGGTCCCGACAGGCGAAGTAATTCGCCAGTCCATAAGGTGCCCATACATGAATAATAATGAGGCCGAGTATGAGGCCGTGATTGCAGGATTAAGGCTAGCGCTCAAGTACGGAGCAAAGCGGGTCATCCTACGTTGTGACTCACAGCTCGTCGTCAACCAAGTCACAGAGACTTTCCAGATCAAAGAGCAAAGGTTGCAAAAGTACCAAGCCGAAATTTGCAAATTACTGCCCGAGTTTGATGAATGTCAGCTCGACCAAATCCCTCGACCACAAAACAACGAAGCCGATGACCTTGCCAACTTAGAGGCAACCACCAAAAGGATAATCGGCGAAGGAAACGTGGTCGCCCTCCACTCGTCAATAGATCAAATAGAGGTAAGGACTATAAATCAACTCGGGACTGGCACAACCGTATTATTGCATACTTGTAGGACGACGTAATCCCAGATGAAAAAAAAAGAAGCCAAGAAACTTCGGATGCAATCATCCAGGTACAACATCATCCAGAACGATCTGTACAAGAGAACGTACGGTGGCCCCCTAGCAAAATGCTTGGGACCAAATCAAACTCGCCGTGTAATAGAAGAAGTCCATGAAGGCCACTGCGGGGCTCATTCAGGCAATCGAGCTCTGATCAGATGCCTCATACGAGCAGGATACTACTAGCCCACTATGAAAAAAGAGGTCGCGGACTTCGTAAAAAAATGCGAGCAATGCCAAAAATACGCCCCAATGATCCACTAAGCAGGCGAGCAACTCCATTCGGTCATTTCCCCTTGGCCTTTCATCAAATGGGGGATGGACATCGTCGGTCCCCTCCTTGCAGGACGAGGTAACGTACGCTTTCTTTTAGTTTTGACTGACTATTTTTCTAAATAGGTAGAAGCAGGATCATTCGCTCAGATACGCGAGCAGGAAGTGATCACCTTCATATGGAAAAACATCGTGTGTCGCTTCGGCCTCCCCAAAGAGATCAGCTGCGACAACGGACCCCAATTTACTGGAAAAAAGGTCGCCAAATTTTTCGAAAAGTGGCATATCAAAAAGATACTCTCCACCCCATACCACCCCGCGGGCAACGGCCAAGCGGAGTCCTCCAATAAATCAATACTAAACATCATGAAGAAAAATCTTGAAAACGCCAAGGGACTTTGGCCAGAACTACTGCCAAAAGTGTTATGGGCATACCGTACAATGCCAAAGACGAGCACAGGTGAAACGCCTTACTCGTTAGTCTATGGGACTGACACAATAATACCAATCAAAGTCGGAGAACCCAGTTTGAGATACTCCCATGAGAGCGGACCGAGGAACGACGAAAGTAGAAGGTATGATCTTGACGAAGCCGAAGAACGGAGAGACATGGCCTATGTAAGAATGATCGCCCAAAAACAACATGTAGAGCGCTACTACAACTAAAAGGCCAAGATCAGACCACTCAAAGTCGGGGACTACGTACTCAAAGCCAAAACACAAGCAAGCAGAGATCCGCAGGAGGGAAAATTGGGAACAATTTAGGACGGCCCATACAAAATCACAACAACAGCAGGCAAAGGGTCATTCCAACTAGAAACAATGGAAGGAAAATGGCTACCAAACAACTGGAACGTTACCCACCTCAAGTACTTCAACTTTTAAGAACAATCGTCTTCTGAGTCGTACTCTTTTTCCCTAACTTGAGTTTTATCCCAATTGGGTTTTCTCAAGAGGGTTTTTAACGAGGCAATGAGGAGCACGCTTCAAGTCGAAGTGCGGACAAGAAAAAGGCAGTTCATTGCTCAACCTCTTGACATATCTCCAGGTTGCCTAATGACCGGGACTAGAATGCCAACCCAAAAAAATATGTAAATTTCTCCAAGTATTGAGCAAAACACACATGAAAAACAACATTCGACCTCGTTTGAATTAAACATTTGACCTTGCGCGAATTAAATATCCGACCTCGCTCGAATTAAACATTCGACATCACTCGAATTAAACATTCGACATCGCTCGAATTAAACATTCGACCTCGCACGAATTAAACATTCGACCTCGCTCGAATAAAACATTAGACCCTATGTGAATTAAACAACATTCGACCTTGCTCGAATTCACATTCGGTTTCGTTAAGATCAACTGTGGCCTATTTCAGTCGAATAAAAACTTATACGGCCACCAGCCATTTTTCAGTTCAGGTTACGTTCGACCTCTCCTGTATTAACTAAGTACGTTTCAAATTAAGCTCCGGATATATTTTACTTCTTTCGACAACACTTAATCGACCACAGATCACGACCGCCAAGTGCAGCGTTTGATCTCGACCACAGATCACCACCACAAATCGAGTTTCTACAGATAAAAGCAGCCAAACGATAGTATTAGGTAAATGATCATACAAAACCGAACAGAAGAAATCCAAAAACAAATAATGAAAATAACATTTCATACTTCAAAAATATTCTTTACAAGGGCTGAAACAGACGCCTACAAAAATATGCACAAATTACAAATCAAATGGATAACTACTCGCCACCTGATCCATCATCGCCATCTTCACCATCGCCACCAGGTTATTCGTCCTCGTACCATGCATCCTTCTCAAACCCACCTAGATCCTCATCTCCATTGTCGATCCTCGGTGTAGCAGGATCGTAGCCACAGGTGATCCGAGCTGCACGCACCTTGGCACGAGAATCCTCAAACTCAGCCTCAGTAACCCTCCCCGTCATCATTATATCTTTGAATATGTCTAGTTGGTCCTCGGCGTGGATCCATTTATCATACAAATCCCGCGGAACATCAGGATAAGCTGAAGTGTGAGAAGAGGACGCTTGAGCCTGCAACTGCATCTTCTCGGCCTCAAGAACGAAGATTTGGTCACCAAGGTTCGAAACCTCTTTTTCCACCCCCCATGATTTTCTCGTCAAGCCGCTCTTCCATGAGCCTAGCAGTCTCCAAATCATTTGCCCACTCAGATCGAAGAACGCGGATTGCATCCCCCAAAGCCTCCGCCTTTGTCAAAGCTGCCAAGCAAGCCAACTCGGCCTTCTCCAAATTCGTCATCTTCTCGGCAACCTCGTTACTCAACACATCGGCCCTGAACGAGCATTGCTTGAGTTCAGCCCGCAGAGATACCACTTGGGCTTGAAAGTCCGCGCATTCGACTTCAACTCTTTTGCTCACTTCGAGCTCCTCTTCTTTGTCCCTAAGTGATCCTTCAAGGACGTTGCACTTACTGATGACTCTCATTAGCTCATCATCTTTCTGTTTCAACTCGTCCCTGATGGCTAGGAAGTCGTCGCTCTCACCAAATTGCCTACATATCTCGCGATGCTTGTTGCGGTATTCACGGTACTTACTCGCCATCTTCTTGAAAATGGTTTTACACCTCTCTTCTCGGCGAGCACTCTCAATCTCCAAGATAATTGTCTAAGAGAAAAAGAGAAGAAAATCAGTATCGAAAATGATGCGCAAGATATAAAAACTACCAGAGTTTGGAAGAGTTACCCTAAGGGCGAGGCCGGCTATCCTCGACGACAAGGTGGCATCGTTCAACTCCTCGAGGGTCTTGCCCTCCACACTGGAGCAAAGGGGACCTAAGGAAGGGACCATATTTTTAGTGTTCACCAGTAGGTCACGATCCATGGGGACCACGGTGGTACGAGTGGACCCTTCCAACCTCACTTCCACCCGAGTGAACCCATCGCTCAACATCCGTACCTCATCGGGGTCAATATCTGAGCCGGTTTCATAGCCGTCTTCGGCAATACCTTTACCTCTTGCCTCGGTAGATGAGGGGACATCAACCGGTACCTAGGTTGACAGCTCACTCCTAGGTTTGCTATCGCTGACCTCCACGGACGGTCCAACAACCCCAACCTTAGGAAAGGGCACACCTTTCACTGCTCTCGTTGATAGTGGAGCTTCAGACGACAGGCTTGCACCACTTTCAGGTACAACAATGGTCGGTTCATGGTCACCCCTTGTAGAGTCCACTGCTTGAACTGTACCATCACCGACATCCACCGACCTTCTTTTTCGTGGATTCAAATCCTCTCCGCTCGACGACGACTCATCCACTAAATACCGCAATGGATAAGCCGATGTCCCAGACGCTGAGGCCACCGATGGCTGAGCTGACCTCGCTAAAACAAGAGATTGATCAGAGGTAGACGACCTGGCAGGCTTAGAGGTTGCAACTAAAGAAGATTCCGTTGTGGCGGTCGCCTGACGGAATGCAGGAGTAGGAGCTCTTGACCCCCTCGAACCTCTCCGTGCTGATATAAGAAAATCAATCAAGATAAAAAAAATCGATCAAGATCAACCCCCACAAAGATAAAAGGCGACCTATCGGAAATATTCAATGACGAAAATAAGCAAACTTACCGAGAAACGTGGGCCTGAACTTAGCGCGGAAGGTCGACCATTTGCGAATCCCCACTGTATAAGGAAGGATTTTTCTAACCCACTCGTGAATGTCCTCGACCAAAGGAGGGGGCTCAGCCTCCCCTCCGTAAAAGGAGAAATTAAGCATAATCAAGGCTGACCAGTACAAAGTGCAACAAAGGGAAAAATGAGAAAAGGTACTTACGAGCATAGTTCCAAAGCTCAGGAAACCCGTTTGCATTTGCCACTACGTCCTCAGTTCGGACGTAGAAGTAGTTGAGCCAAAACTGGCGGTTGGCCTTATCATCCATTTTTACCACAATACTTTTGCCGCCCCCGGTGGCGAAGATGTAACATCATCCCCCTGAAAAAATTGGGGGCGAAGAGATGCATCAAGTGACGGATGGTCACCTCGACCCCGGCCAACTCCGCGAACTTCGAAATCATACGGATGGGTTTGTAAATATATGGGGAAAGCTGAGCCGGCCACACCCGGTAGTAGCGGCAAAATTCTTTAGCCAGGGGTAGAATAAGAAAAGAATAACCTACGAAGAAGGGGGAGGCATAGAAGGTGCAGTACCCAGGGCGACGTATTTGTACCACGTCATGCCCCGCTGGGCTGATGTCTATGTGGGCGGGAATTTTGAATTTAGCCCTAAACTTGGCAATGGATGCCTCTGTCATCAACGACTCCGAAATTTTGGGGGTCAACTTCGTGCATCTTTGAGAAATCAGACCTATCCTTCTCCTTACAGGGAACTATTTTCTCCACCGTAGGAAAGCTGTCATCTTCAGCAACCATGGCCACTTCATTATCGTAGGGGGGAGGGGGGCATGCTAACCGCCAAGGGGGCAGGATCAGGCACTCCCCATGAATTGGTTCTATTAACTATTTTTGCTCATTTTTGTATTGAGAAAATGCAAGCATAGAAGAGATATAGGTGGCAGGAGATATCCAAACCAGCGAAAGCAGGAACATAAGGCTGAAGGTAACAAAAGCAACAACAATTAAATAAGGAAAGAAGATATAATATCCCATGATTTTAACCAAGGATATATTAGTCATTTAGCAATTAATTAAGTCAAAAAAAAGGATGCACAAAAAGAAATAAAAGTCAAACAAATCTAGCAAAAAGAACTAATAAAATAAAAACGTGAGGGCATGGGAGAAAAAGAAAAAAAAAATATAAAAGGCTAAAGGGATTTTGGGGGAAAAGAGACGCAGTGAAACAGAAGCTTCAATTAGAGAAGATTTGAGATTTAAGAACAAAAAAAAATTGAAGAATGCTCATCCAGGTAAGAGGCAAAGAAAGCAAAGAAGGAATTTTGTTGAAATCTTATAGTCAACAAGGCATAAGAATTAGAAAGGAGCGTTGGTTCAGTCTTTGTTCCGTAAAACTCCTACCCTACTGGAAAAGTAAATTTACATTCTTGAGTCTCAGCGATAAGCTCTAGGTAATTGCATATATTTTTTCCTTCTTTTGAAACAGTAGTAATTTTTAGATACATGACTCATCGAGAGACTAAGTAAATATAATATTGGGATTTGATTCTGAGTTAAAAAGAGGAGGTTAGGGAACTGAGAGAAATCCGTAAGATTTTTCATGAATTAATCAGGTATATTATATGAATAGGCAAAATATTTAGAGATTATGGACTAGTTGAATTACTTATAGTATGGGTAAATATAATTTGGTGAATTAAGAGTCAAACATGAAACCCAAGGGTTAGGTATTCTAAATTAGCTATGAATTAGCCTAAACATGAAAATTAACATGAGATCGATATTATGTAATTATAGATTAATTGGAAGAAGTTGTATGAATTGCTCGAGATGAAGCATTTGGTATATCGACACCAGTACTGTGAGTAGTAATCTTATCACAATTTGTGTTTTCATAACTTGCATGAGTTACACATAATTTTTAATATAAATATGTTACCGATTATTTTGAGTTGCATGTGGGACAAGTTTTTTACTCGATATGATACCGAAATAGTTATTTGAGATGATTACCGTTGTTTTAAATATTTCCGTTGTTACTAGATCTGTTTTACCGTTATTTGAATTTACTGTTATCAAAATAAAATTACATGATTTGATAAGAACCGAAATGCCCTATATTATTTTAAAATATTTTTCTACGAGTATATACCGATTACAGAGACAAGTATAAATAGAAGTAGACATTGGAGGATCTCGTAGCTAACGGCGAGTTCGTTAGACCTGGTGCACCTTGTAATTACCGATTACCGTTACAGCCCTCGCTAGTGGGGAAGGTAGAACTAGCATACCGTTACTGATTTCCCTTGAGTTGGGACTACCATTATATTTGACTTCTTGCGAAGAAGTCCACAGTTATACCGATTACATGATCAGTTCATTGAAACCTCCTAAACATGAATATTGATATCACACAGTATTTACTGAGCTTATTACCGAATTGTAAATTGATTTATTTTACATGAAAAACATGATAAGACTGATTATTGTCTATTGTTTCTGAAAGGGCATTCTTATGATACTTTCTGTTTAATATATATACTAGCATGTTTTCTGACTTGTCCCCAATAAAAACGGTTGTGGTTAAGTGTTATTACTCATTGAGCTAGCGACTCATTCCTCGCTAATTTTTTTTACAGAGACATCAACTGATGCGGGCGAGGATTTTGTTAATTAGATCACACAACTTGATAGTTCTTGGTGAGCCTCGCACTTGTTCGCGTGGGCGGAGATTTTATTTATTGTTATCGTCTTTTCTTTGAGCTCTTAGAGTCGCTACATAGTTATTCTTTTAGTGTCATGAGTATTCTTTTGTTATTATAGATTTATGTTGAGTATCGCTCTTTATTATCAAAGTTGGAGATAAATTAGTATTTCTAGTTGTTAGTGGGAGGACTATTAATAGTAGATATTTGTTTGGGTTAATTGATAAAATTATTGTTGTTTGGATTGATATTAGGATGTTTCGTTGATGATTTGAGACAGAAAAATTTTTGGATAGTCCAAAAACAGGGGAAACTCTGTTTGACGATGAGACTTACTTGGGGGCACTTGCTCCTAAGTACCGGTCATGATCCTAAATTGGGGCGTGAAAAAGTTGGTATCATAGCTTAGGCTTTAAGTCCCGAGACATGGAGCAATGTTTAGTAGAGTCTTGTTCATGAGTATGTAGGCGCCCATACTTATGATCTTGAGGCTACTGAACATCTAGGAATGTTTTCCCTTCTTTCATACTTTGATCGTGCATTGAGATAACTTAAGATTGACTTTGGAGTATTTCTTTCGCTGATAGCTAGGACACGCACACCCTCATCGGCTGGACGTGGTACTTCCTGGGGTGGTGGTCAAGTTGGGGTTCATCAAACTAGAAGACAGGCTGCTCCTCAACCTGAAATTGGGAACATTGGTCAACCCCAAGCTACTATGTTAGATCAAGTGCAAGAACATGGGGTTCAGGACGCTCTATCACCAGTGCCAACTGTTGTACCTACTGTTGCCTTACCTGCAGACGCAGTGGCAAAGTTATTGAATGTGTTAGAGGCATTGGTGCCTACTCAGGGTGGAAGTTCATCTCCTTAGGCTACTTTATAGACACAAGCACCTGCACAGACTCAAACTTTCGAGAATAAGGAAGTATCTCTACAAGAGTTCCTGAAATTGAAATCACCAAAATTCACAGGTTCTGATAATTCAGCAGATCCTCAAAGTTTCTTGGATGGGACACTCAAGGCATTACATGCTCTAGTATGTTCTAGTGAGAGAGCCATGGAGCTCGCAGCATACAAACTAGAGGATATGGCCAATATATGGTATGAAACTGTGTTAGTAGGAAGGCCAGCAGGAGCAACACCACTGGCATGGGACGAGTTCACTAAGTTGTTCATGAATTATTTTCTTCCAGATAGCCTAATGCAAAAATATGCTAGAGACTTTGAGAGATTGGTTCAGACTCCAGATATGGATGTGTCAACATATAACACCAAGTTTTGTAAGCTGGCTAGATATGCTCTTTACTTAGTGCCTACCGAAGAAGCTCGAGTTCAGAGTTTTGTTGATGGATTGGTTGGTCGTCTATACACAGTAGTAGCCCCACATATGAAGACTTTATCCTACTCTGATGCACTCGACTTTGATATAAAGATTGAAAATAAGGGACGTGATGAGCGTGCAACTAGTGATTTACGTAAGAAGGCCAAGACATGAGGGTCTTTCAGTGGCGGTTTTAGTGAAAATCGAAGAGTAGGAAATCAGAGACAACAACAACAGGGTTCTCAGACAGGGACACACTTGTCTTCACAGTCCACATACAGACCACATTACAGACAGGGTACTAGGGGACCATCATCATCTGGACATCGTAATTCTGGGCAGATATATGCCACTATTTTAGTCTGCCAGACCTGTGGTAGATCACATTTGGGCCAATGTCATTTTCTAACTGGAGAGTGCTTTCGGTGTGTCCAGTTGGGACATCACTTGAGGGATTGCCCTCAGCCTCCGAGAAATTTCAACCAGGCTTCTATTCAGTCAGCTGCACCTACTCAGACTACTCGTAATACTTCAGGTGCTACAGGTACAGGAAATAGAGACCGAGGTGCTGGAGACCGTGTTACTGTAAATCGAGGACAAGGGAATGCTGGTAGAGGTCAGGCGAGACTTTTTGCATTTACTAAACAGGATGCTCAGGCCTCGAATGTTGTGGTCACAAGTATTCTTTCTGTTTGTTCATTTGATGCACTTGCATTGATTGATCGGGGATCTACTCACTCCTATGTGTCCTCGTACTTTGCTTTGAGGTTTAATAGACAACCTGAGCTATTGAATGATCCTTTCCTAGTTGCTATTCCTGTTGGGGAGTCTCTATTAGCTGAATACGTGTATCGTGCTTGTCAGATTCGGGTTGAGGGTAGAGATACTCTAGCTGACCTTATTGTACTTGGTATGATTGACTTTGACATGCTGATGGGAATAGATTGGTTATCTTTTTGCTATGCTATCGTCGATTGTCATGCAAAGATAGTTAAGTTTGAGATACCAAACGAACCTAGTTTTGTTCTAAAAGGGGGTCAGGTTCCAAAGACTTGCAAAGTTGTATCTTTTATGAAGGCTCAACGACTTCTGAAGAAAGGTTTCTCGGGTCTCTTAGCTATTGTGAATGACATAAGAAAGGAAACAATTTGTATAGAAAATGTACTAGTAGGGAGAGAATTTTCTGATGTATTTCCTGAGGATTTACCAGGATTGCCTCCAGTACGAGAAATAGACTTTGGTGTTGATTTACTACCAGACACACAGCCCATATCGATACCCCCATATCGGATGGCACCAGCAGAGTTGAGGGAGCTAAAGCAACAGTTACAGGATTTGTTAGATAAGGCTTTTATTAGACCTAGTGTATCACCATGGGGTGCACCAATATTGTTCTTAAAGAATAAAGACGGATCTCTAAGAATGTGCATTGACTACAGACAGTTAAACAAGATAACAATTCGCAATAAATATCCCTTGCCTCGTATAGATGACATGTTTGATCAGTTACAAGGAGCTTCCCACTTTTCAAAGATAGACCTTCGATCTGGTTATCATCAACTTAGAATCAAAGATGAAGATATTTTTAAGACTGCTTTCAGGACTCGGTACGACCACTATGAGTTTCTGGTGATGCCTTTCGGACTGACTAATGCTCCAGCTGCATTCGTAGATTTAATAAATAGGGTGTTCAAGCCGTTTCTAGATAGATTTGTAATAGTTTTTATTGATGATATCCTGATATATTCTCGTAGCCAAGAAGAACACGAGAATCATCTGAGGACTGTGTTGCAGACATTGCGAGAACATCGGCTTTATGCTAAGTTCTCAAAGTGTGAATTTTAGCTAAACTTAGTAGTATTTCTAGGGCATATTGTATCCAAAGATGGAATTATGGTAGATCCTAAGAAGACAGAAGCTGTGCAGAAATGGCCCAGACCTATTTCTCCTACAGAGATTCATATCTTTTGGGCTTGGTGGGCTATTACAGTTGTTTGGATTGATATTAGGATGTTTGGTTATTGATTTGAGACAGGAAAATTTTTTGATAGTCCAAAAATAGAAAAAACTCTGTCCGATTTCTGTTAAATACCGATGAGGCTTACTTGGGGCCACTTGCTCCTAAGTGCCAGTCATGATCCTAAATTGGGGCGTGATAGAAGAGATAAATATTCAATGTTCAAAAAACACCAAAAACCAAGCAAAGGGTCTTATATCCCTATTTATAAGAACCTGGGCACCACGATCGAGAATCTAAATCGTCAATACCCCACACGGATATCGAAATGACAGAGGCACAGGATACGACGCAATACATCGAGAAAATGCCTTATAATGACGCGCGGCATCGTGACGTCATTTAGAATTGACGTAACGATAAGTTATGGTTCACTAAGCGCCACTTTATCACCACGCCAAGAACGTTACTACTCGACCTGCTCGCCTAAAATCTCTTGAACTACGACTAGCGAAGTCCACTCACCGAGGTCGTCCGAGAGACGGCCCCGATAATCGGAGGGACTAACTGTATGGGTTAAAATATGCCTAAATGCATTCAACACGAGTGATGTTGCCATAAGTAATATGGCTGAGGTCGACTAGTAACTAATAGGATTCGTTGCCGAGCAACTAATTATGGCCGAGGTTGAGTATCAGAGGAAGCAGTAACAACAAGTTTAGTAGAGAATATTTTGCTAGATATTCTTGATACTTGTACTTTTAGGGTTAATTGAGGGCCTGCCCCTATAAATAGAAAGAGATAAATCAGATGAGGGGTCTCGGACAAGAACTTCCTGGACAAAGAACAAACTCTCTACATCTTAGACAACAGATCCAAGAAAGGCTCCGAAATTCTTGTATCTATCTATCATTCATCATAACCAAAAGAGGAACCATTTTCATCCTATTCGAGATTGGGTGAATCATTCTCCTTATTTACTTTAATGTCATTCAATATAATTAAATCTTGAATATTCCTCTCCCATTATTGATATTCTAACATTGAATTCATATTTGAAGTTATTATTATTAGTTAGGCTTAACCCTCATTAAATACATTCAATTAATTTAGCCAAAGAAAATTATTTTTTGGTTAAACAACTTTTTGACACGGTGACAAGATTTTGTTATATGGTGGAAGATAAATGGAGAAGATGAGCTAGTGGCGCTGTTGCTTTTTTTTTTTTTCTTCCTTTGCACCTAGTTTAGCTCTAACAGTGAGGAAGAAAAATGGAGAACTGTAGGTGTTCTTCATAGATGGAGAGGTGAGAAAAAAAAAAAGTTAAGTACTTTTATATTTTTAATTTTTTATTAACACTTGTTCTTTGGGACCCATAACAATAGCATTATATTCATGTCAAGCTCTTTAAAGAGGTGGGCAGTATACACTATGCCACATCACCAAATTGTGTCTACATGACACATTTGAGCTGTGGTTGGAGTGTTCAAATGGAACAGACTTAAAATAGAGTATCTAAGTGAAAAGTGTAGACAACTTTAAGTTGTTGTCGATGTATTTATAAAATTTATCCGAATTAACTAATACCTATAATCAAATATGAGATAAATACAATCTCAAATTCTATTCGAGTATTATTATTCTTATCTATTGTAATAAATGACCCCTAAAGGTCTAAAATTATGTAATGTGTTAAGGACCCGTTTGGCGATAGATTTTGCCAAAATAAATTTGTGTTTTATTTGGCAAATACATGTTTGGCCATAGATTCTGCCTACATTTTGGCAAAATCCAAAATTCCAAATTTCAAATCCCAAAACCAGCTCAATAGATGGTTTTGAGCCAAAATATCACTATTATATTTTTTAAAAAATTGTCCCAAACTTTTGTATTTTATAAAAGAGCCCACCATTTATTATTTTGTAACAATGTTGCTTCGTCTTCTTGGTTACCTGATAGTGTATCATGTAGTTTATTATAAAAATGATAATTTTGTATCAAATTTATTTATGTTCAGGACTATAGTTTGTGATAATATAATGAATATTATTGATAATGGTATTGTTGGGTATTTGTAATAGTTTTTAAAACTTGTGGGTATAACTCATGTTTCATGTTTTTCCAAAATAAATTTGGGAAATATATTTTGAAAACTGATGTCTAAACACATTTTCATCTTCAAACCAAACTTCACCCAAATCAAATTTTTCAGAAGAAATTTGAAAATCTATGGCCAAATGCTAGCTAAGAGACGTGGCTTGCCAAGTTAAAGAAATGGACAATGGTATCATGTCACATGGTCAATAAAACATGTCAAGTCAAATCAAATTTCTAAAAAAAAAAATCAAAAATGCCAATATGAATATGACATGTGTATAATGTTTTAGCCAATCAAATGTTCCCTTGGTTTCATTTTATGTGAATTCATTTGACTGGACACGGAGTTTAAGAAAAGAGTGAAAATTTTTGAACTTGTAGTGTAAAATGAGGCACATATATTTTGTGTGGCTATAAATCATTGCATAAAGGTAAGTTGTTTCTAAATAAGGAAATGAGTCATTCTTTTTGGCACAGATTAAAAGGAAATAGGTTCACATAAATTGAAACGGAGGGAGCATGATTTAGTCACCGGTTCAATATGAATGGTTAGTGACTCAAGTGAATCAATAAAACCACAGTTAAAGAGTTAATTTGTATTCATCACAACTTCTTTCTTCCATAATAATATAAATATGGGTCCTCTATAAGCCAAAAAGAGAATCGAAAATTGCAATAAGCGACAAAAGGCTCAAAGGAACAATGGATTTCAAGACTTTCTTTACAAGTTTCGTGTACTCAAATTCAAGAACGAAGCCAATTAAGGGACCAATGTATTTGAAATCAACATGACTTGCTCGTGGTATTTTGATCCAAAATTGAGGTTTGTGACGGATAATTCAAAATTACATTCACGATCATGTTCAAGTTCAAGGCTTTAAGTCCTTAGACTCAAATTCATTAAACTCAACTTAGATTAAAATTCATCAAACTCAAGATCAGCTTTTCAAGTCTTGGGTCAATAGTTGAAGAAAAGAATTAAAAAGTACCATCATCAAATTTTGAGAAATTATAGACACTATAACACCCACTTTATTGAAATTAAATAGTACAATTCGCCACATATATTTTTGTCTTAATTTTCTCATACGAATTTTATTGTTACACCATCTTTAATAATTTATTAAATAATATTTTAGTTGTTTAATTTCCATATATCATAGTATAAAGATCTTTTAAGCAATCATAGTATTACATAACTATAGGTAGTTTATTTCTTTATATAATATGGAATGTTATTTAGTAAATTTAAGCTGTATATCGACAATGTAAGATTTTTACACTATAATTATAATGTAACATTAGATAGTAAGTTAGTTATAAGTTTTATTCGGGTACAAATTAATATTATAGGGACATATATGTTATTAACAACCAATTGTACAATCGTTTTATACAGTCTATTATGTAAAAAATGGTTGGCCTTCCTTTGTAAACGAAGTTCAGAATTAATAAGGGTTTGTTGAACAAAGGGATTATATAATTAAGGTGCATCCTCACTTTTTTTGTTCGTAACGACCGAGAATATAATAGAGTTTCAAGTTTGAAACAAAGGAATTAAAAAAAAATCTTTATGGCATTCTCGTTTTGAGGCATTATGGCTTACGGGTCAACCCCGTTAACAAAGAAGGAATTAATAGAAATTTGGATCCGACACCTTGATAAAATACTACCCCTCGTGATTAGATCATGTCCTTTAGATTTGATAAAAGAAATGTGAATTTGCGATTAAAATGTTTAGATCATTCTGTAATATTCCTATGTTTGCCGCAAGGAAAAACATCATAACTCCTGTAAAAGTAATAACAATCAAAGTCATAAGTGGATATTCAAATAAAGGGAGCATCTTGCTATTATGAAAACGCACAAGCTATTACCAAAGTAGCTATTGAATCAAAGCGGGTACTGGAGTGGGACCCTCAATAGCATCACGTGATTAAGTATGCGATCCTATATGTGCAGATTTTCAAACATCACTAATAAAAAGTAACAAAAAACCTTCCTTGTCACTAGTATGGTTGCTCGCGATAATTGTGACATTTCCGGAGAATCGATAGCTGCATCAAAGATGCAGTACTAATAATACATTTGAGACTTCTTAATTGGCTAGTTGTAAATAGCTCTGGGGCTATGGAACAAAACAAGATACGACTAGCTCTCCTTGCTTGCCTATATGAGTAGGAAATTGGAACAATCTCTGACTTTAAAGAATAAGATGAGATGAGAGCTATATCTTCTAAATTCGGGAAGTAAGGAGATGCATAAGAACTATCCCTAAAGCAAATATTCAAAATGCTCCAAGACAAAGTAAAAAAAAAAGGAAATTTCTTGTCTTAATTTTATTTTATTGAAGGGCAATTATTGCCAAATGCACCATTGCTTGGTGAATCATTAATTAGTCATATTAAAGAATAATTTCTCCTTTGACTAACCTTGTGAGATTAGATTTCTAGAACGCGGTAAAACTTAAACTTATCTAATAAGGCAAACATCTTGTTATGGTCGATTAAATTATATTGATTATGTAAAAATATGTAAGCCATAGTGTCATAACTTATAAGTATCCTTATATGAAATTATGAATAGTCAAATCGAACTCAAAAATACGATTAACGTCATTAATGCAATATCCAAGAAAATAAAAGACCATTTTGCTTTTAAAAAAAAGTAGTACTCCGCCGTAATTCTCGAAAAAGAAAAGTAAACCATAGAGGTGTAAGTGCGACGGCGCTGGTTGAGAAGGGTTTTATACTTTCAAGTTCAGGTCACCATAGACAGTAGCATCTTGGGTTTTACAATCTTAAGGTGATAACGAGAGAGAAGATATGGATTCTTTTTCGGCACCGTCCATTGGATCTTCGTCAAACAGTGATTTGATGGACCAGCTTAAAACTCAGCTTGCCCAGGCCTACGCTGAGCAATTTCTCGAGGTATTATTTCATCTCTCTGTCTTTTTAATCTCCCTATAGGTTTTGGCTTTGATTCGTGTTTAGTTGTTCTTCGACTTATAAACGATGAAAAACCTGCTGATAATTGGTCGGTTATTGGCTATAAGTCAGTTGTCAAACTTTAATTTTCTAGAAATATATCTATTTTTCATGATTCATTTGTGGTTGCAATCTGCACGGAGAAGCAGTGACATCTATGATTTTCTGCAAAGGGGTTCAGACATAGAATAAGGCAATGATTGACAACCAATAGTAGAGGCATCACCGAGCATGATAATTAGGGAATTCTCAACCTAAATAGGCCAAATAATTACAAAAACATCAAAAAGTAGGTTGTCCAAACTATTTTGAGCAACACAAAGGCAAATCACATAATATGACAAAATTAGTGATTTGGTTAGCTATAATCAAACTACATAATAACACAAGATACTAACTATATGATAATCGGTTTAAGGTATAGTGTTTAGCTATTTAATATTGTTGATGTGGCTAATTAGCTAATATGTAGTTGTCATTTGACAAATCGTATTTATCTTCATATAAGTTAGCTAATGTCTTGTCTTATTATATTGTTAGTTCAATTATAGTTAGTTTATAGTTAACAAATCATTAATTTTATCATATCTTTATCTAAAAAAGTTAATATCTTGTGTTTATGTATTTAAATATTTAATTTATAGTATTTCTTTTTGTTTAGTGTTATTAGTGTGTCCCTCTATTTGGCTTGGTTGATCCATTGACTCTCATCTGTAGGTGGATGAATTAAGGCCATTTGAGGGACTTATTCTTGTTATTTGCCTAGATTGATCCATCTATTCTCAACAATCGATTTGTTTTTAACCTAACTAAAGATGTCAATATAAGTACATAACTAGATGGATCAACCAAAGCAAATACTAGGAATGAGTTTCTCAAATGTCCTTGCTTGAACCATTTGGACAATTGCAAATAAGTGAAAAAAACTCCATTTCCTAGAATCACCAGGAATCTTTGAGAAAAAAATATAAAATCACCAGGAATCGCGAATAGTGGTAGAGGCTACTTCTAGAATTTTTTTGAGCCATATAAGCAGAGGAAAAAGAGCTCAAGATCTAAGAATGAGAGAAAAAATTCTAGAATTAAGAATTGTTTTAAGCTCAGGGGTGAGATTATATGAGTTGTGAGGGAAAGAGTGATAGTGAAGAGTTTGGTCTAGTTGCTTTAGCTATAAAGGGACTTTTTAGCTGCGTCAATTGGTTTTTGATTGTAAAGTTGGTTTTTGATTGTAAAGGTACTGGTGATGTGATTAGACTTTGATAATTTGATCCATTCTCTACAAAGTGTATATGGCCAAAAACTTTCTTTTCTGACATTTTTGAGATAAATTTTCTCGACAAATAACCGCACCCAATAATAAATTTATTGATTATTTAAACATCAACGGATTCCCATTGCAAGGTTTCTGTAACAAATCAAAGGACAAATTTTTTAGATCCAATAACAAGCACAACATTGTAATTATGCTAAAACCAAGAATAGAGACTGCACTGGCATGAGATGCAGAGCTTTAAGAACTAATGGGTCCAACAAGGCTTTAAAAAAGTTACTACATGCATATTGTTGGTTATACTATTTCTACAATACATAGTTAACCAGGCATAATAGCCGGTAAACTGAGTCTGTTTGAGATAAATTAATTTTCGGGCAAATGTCCAAATATGCCCTTGTACTATACGAAATTGAGCATATTTGCCCTTCGTTAATACTTTATCTCAAATATGCCCTTACCGTCACATAGTTGGTCCATATATGCTCTTAGAGTTACACAGTTGGCCCATATATGTCCTTTTCGAAACGGAATCCACCCAAATTAATTAGCTCTTTCGTTAATTGTATTAAAGTGTATTACAAACACTATTTCCTTTTTATTAGTACTTTTTTTCTTTACCTTTCTCTTTCCTTTCTTCTTTTTTCTTTTCTTCTCTTTTTTTTTCCTTTTTCTTTCTCCCTTATCCGATTTCCTCCATTACTGATGTCTTTTTCATTTTCGTCACCAATTTCACTTGACAAAACTCATGAATTCCAATTACTAAGAAAATTCTCCCATAAGAATATTTTAATATATCATATGTTTGTCAATTTTTTAATTTTTACTGAACAAATATTTAGTTCTAAAAAATTTAACAAAGTAAGATTGAAATAATATTTATGTAACAAAAAATCCGAAAAATCCAACAAAACCGAACAATCCAAACCGATATAATTGGTTGGTGTGGTTTTGATAAAAACCGAATCAATCCGTTCCATGTACACCCTTAATTTTTTAATAGATCATAAGTTTGTCAATTTTTTAATTTTTACTGAACATATATTTAGTTCTAAAAAATTAGGGGTGTACATGGAACGAGTTAGTTCGGTTTTTATTAAAACCAAACCAAACCAATTATATCGGTTTGGATTGTTCGGTTTTGTTGGATTTTTCGGGTTTTTTGTTGCATAAATATTATTTCAATCTTACTTTGTTAAATTTTTTAGAACTAAATATATGTTCAGTAAAAATTAAAAAATTGACAAACATATGATCTTTTAAAATATTCTTATGGGAGAATTTTCTTAGTAATTGGAATTCATGAGTTTTGTCAAGTGAAATTGGTGACGAAAATGGAGAAGACATCAGTAATGAAGGAAATCGGATAAGGGAGAAAGAAAAAGGAAAAAAAAAGAGAAGAAAAGAAAAAAAAGTATTAATAAAAAGGAAATAGTATTTGTAATACAATTAACGAAAGAGCTAATTAGTTTGGGTGGATTCTGTTTCGAAAAGGGCATATATGGGCCAACTGTGTAACTCTAAGGGCATATATGGACCAACTATGTGGCGGTAAGGGCATATTTGAGCTAAAGTATTAAGGAAGGGTAAATGTGCTCAATTTCGTATAGTACAAGGGCATATTTGGACCTTTTCCGTTAATTTTCAATATATATCATTGAAAAAATATGATATGCTAATTTTTGTTCAAAATAGTTTGGATAGCCTATTTCTGTTGTCTTTGAAGTTATTTGGCCTATTTAGGTTGAGGCTAAAACAAAACTATTGGAATAAGTAAATTTAACAATTTATTGAAATCTAGCAAATTTTACTTTGAACTATTCAATTTTAACTTTGTATGTTTTACTTATATAATTAATAGTGTAAACAGTACCAATTTATCAATTTAAGAAGAATAATATAAAGATAAAGAAACAATTTATTAAAATGTAAACAACAAGAATTTATTAATGTCATATAAGCTAAACTAAAACTAGAACATTCTGAACAATTTCACTTTAATGCAGATGATAAAAGAAGAGACCTTATAGACTAAGCTAAGAATTTCTTTTGGGGTTAGATAAGAATTTCAATTTAACACGAATAAACCATTTCTGTATAAACTAAACTAGCATAGCACATTGTAAAATACTACAATAGATCAAAAATAATAAACTAAACCAACAATTTCACTGATATTTTATAAACAGGGATTTAGCCGGTCTACTTTAGAAGGATGGCCGACTTGACCTTAAGATTCTATGGGAAGAATTTAACAATATGATATCCCTTCCTACAGTCTCGTAAGTGTTCAAGAAAAGTACAAACTCTATGCTCTAGTATTTGGATATACTCAAATCAATTGGCGTGGTGACACCTTGATTTCCTGGTGTCGACATTATTTGACAAATGTTATCTGTTGAATGCACATATACACTCTTGGAAACCTCTCATGCAACTTTTTAGATCAATTGACTGTTGGAAACCTATCAATTTGAATAGGTTTAGTGCCAATGTACTTGTAGTGCTGTTATGGGCTCAGTTAAACTGTTGCCCCCTTTTTTTGGTTCTTCCTTGAGGAGAGAATAGAGATCCCACACCAATGATCTTTTCCCTTGAATGTCCAATATAGAACTTAATATGCCATGTGATGTTGTATGCTTGGGAAGCGTAAAGTGCCTTCTATAGATTGAGGAGAGAAGTTGTATGCTTGTCATGTGCCAAGCTCTGCTTATTTCTGTTGAATTCTTCTTGGATGAATATCCTCGTGTTCAGGTTTTCTGACATGTCTGTGGCTTGAGGTGGGTTTGGTGACTTTTGGAATCTTACGCGCACACATATGCACAAGATAGTTGTATGTCTTTAAGGCTTGCAGAATATACTTATTGTGTGTGGCGTTAACCATGATGAATTAGCATTGTCTTTGCACATCAGCTGAATGAAAAGCACTGAAGCTATGTGTGCGCAATTCTCGACCCACCTTTCTCCCTCTGATGTTCCTTCATTAGATTAACATTGCAAGTATAGCTTCTCAATATTAGTCAACTTTGGGCCTTCAAGGCATTGGTTCAATGATAATAGTAGGGTAGTAAGTGCGGATTGGTATGTAAGTGGAGAAGGGTAGTAAGGCCAGCTTGTTATCCAGCGAGTTTTGAAGCTGTAAACAATGGATTTCTTAATTGTACAAAAAAAGTAGTGAACTTTGGAGACATAGGGAAGTATGTCATCTTGGGAATCTCTCTCTTTCTCTCTCTCTCTCTCACACACACACATATTTTCTGAAAAATTTATAAATATATTTTTATTGGCATAAACAAATGTAAACTATGATGTCTTAGCATCATCTTGTCTTTTGCACGTCAGCTGAATAAAAATAATGGAAGTTATGTATGTCTAATTCTTGACCCATCTTACTCCCTCTGATGTTCCTTTCATTAGGTTAGTACAGAAGAATAGTTTCTCTTGATTAATCAACTTTGGAACCATTGGGTTGGCTAGGATTTTTGCTAAGGAGATAAGTTGTGGAGTATACAAATAGAAACATCGGATAACTGCTTTTCTATTCCTACCCTAAAACCCTCCTTTTGTGAAGCCATCCATGTTGGTCTTCTAAAGTTTGTTTTTCACCATTGTGCTCAATGTTGATTCTCTGTTATTCTTTTGGTATTGTGAACTAGTGTGGTTCAGCAACTGCCAATTGATTGATGAGTGGGGTGAGATAATGGACATAAACTCAGTATTTAACTAATGAGCATGATCCCACTTAGCTCACGGAATTTTGTTCATGCCACTGATTTATTTTCTCTTTGATCACGATATTATTTATTGCTGCTATGGGCAGATAATCTGGTTTTCGTGACACAGTTTTGCTTCTAACTGTAATAAACAATGACACCGAGATGCTATTGATGCATCATATGAAAATTCTAAATATATTTAAGAATTATTTGAATTGTTTTCTTGGAAAGCAGAAGGATTAACTTTACGATCATTGTACAACATGATGAAACCTCTGATTGCTATTTTCAGTGCAAGTTTTAGTGTTACTGCTGTCTAAATGCCTTTTTGGTGTGTTTTCCTGACAGTTTGACACTATTCTTTTTGAATGTTTCAGACAGTAAGGGAGAAATGCTTTGACAAGTGTATTACAAAACCAGGGAGTAGTATGAGTGGCAGTGAGGGTAGTTGTATCTCCAGGTGTGTTGATCGATATATTGAGGCCACTGGCATAATTAGCAAAGCGCTCTTTAGTCAACGATGAAACAGTAGCTGAGTAGATCCTGAGGCTTTGTTACGAATTTTTTTTGAGTACATTTATTTCACGATTATATACTTTAATATGTTTCTCATTTCTTATTGTTATTAACGATATTACAAGTGAATTTTTTCGTACTCCTTAAGATCAATGACGAGAGCAGTATTAGTGGTAAGACGTTTTTTGGTGCATTGAGAGCTTTATAACCTTGTGTGTGGAGAAATTTGAGGATACTGTCTTAATTATTTAAGGTAATGAACATACGAGTAACATTGTTAAGTATTTTAAAAGGCATAATACCTCGGGACCTCTTGAACTTGACATCGTTTATTCAGTCCTTTCATCAACTTGATAGTTTGATAGCCTTAACCCCTAGATTCTAATGTGGCGAAGGGCGTGGATACATTTTTCACAGATGCAGCCACATAGTAATATACAATGATGTGTTGTTTCAATTGTGTATTTCTTCTTGCTTCTTCTAACGTGGGATAACAATCTCGGGATAAATCAACAAAGTAACAAGGATGCTCCTCTGTAAAGGTCCTTTTCTAGAAGTGTTTTAAGAAAGCTAATGCTAAAATTTAAAATAAAAGTTTGTCTAAGTTAATCTTGTGTAAAACCAAAGAAATGCCAATTATATCCTATTTTTTGTACAATGAACCTAGCATCTACGATAAGAGCATCAAAATGGATATGAGATGACTTTGGCTATTTAGTAGGCCCCGGAACCATTTGGACTCAAAGAACATAACGTCCTTTTAAAGGGCGCTATATCTTAACGGCCGTTTGCCCAGTTAAGTATAGCGTCCTTTTAAAAGGCGCTATATTTGGTATAACGCCCTTTATTAAGACGCTACAGTTTTTGACGGTAGGGGTGTCCCACGAGGTCGTGGGGGTCGGCGAGTAGGTGGTCCCCAGCAGGGGGCGTTGAGGCACCTGCTGAGGATGTTGGAGTTCATCAGCCCGGTGACCACCATGAGCCAGACCATGCTCCTAGTGATATGCCGTCATTCAGCCTTCAGCTTACTCCAGGGACTTCGCAGGTGACCCCGCCAGCTCCATTGTTGATCGCGGGCACGGCCATTACGCAACAGGAGTGGGATCAGTATTTTCCTGGTCCTCCAGAGCCATCGACGGTTGTTGATGATAGTCCGACACGAGATGCGGATAGTGGGCGCCAACTGAGTTATGACTCATCATCGAGAGATGCTGAGGATCTTTCACAGGCGCAGGTTTGTTTGTATTACTATTATTTATATTTGTTTTTTATCTCATTGATTAGTCATAAATATCTAAAGCCTTTTTTTTAAGGCATCATCCTCGCCCGACACGGAAGCCACTTTGTGCGATACTGACATGGCTGAGACGGATGATTATATTCAGGAGCCCGCCAAGACCATGGTAAGATAATTTAAATTTTTGTGACTTAACACGTACATTACAAATATATATTTCATATACTAAAATATCTTATTATTCTGTAGGTTACTGCTGGACCGACGACCCCTTCTACCGAGCCTGCCAGCCCTACTGAGGATCATGTTGCAGCGCATCCTCCGATAAAGAGGCGACGTGATGAGAATGATCCTAATAGTGTAGCCGAGCGGGATGGGATGCGCCTCAAGCCAACGACTGCTTTAAAGCATACAGGATGTGAGACACATTGACTTTTTTTTATTTTTTTATTTTATGTACATATGACATTCAGTAAATAATAGCAACAATTTTTATTGTTTACATTATATGCGCATTATGTTTTTATTTCTCGGGTTCTTCGTTATTTTAATACTACAACACAAACACAAACATAGCAACTTAACATAATTTAAATTCAGTACAACTAATGAAAATATATGATACGGAAAACATAAAGATAAAATACTACACTCAACACATACATGTGTTTGTTTAGTCACTATCGCCCATTATTCTCTGCTTCAACCACTTAAATTTCTCTTCCAACTTATTTTTTTCTTCTTCCGCCTCTTTTAGTTTCTCGTGCACTGCCACAATTTGTCGTTGCATTTTAAAGATTTGGAGTTCGTATTCACCGGTCATATTCCAAACATACTGTAAACATGATTTGTAATATTCCTTGGTTAATTGGTTCATCATACCATTCTTCAAATCTACATTGATTTCCGTCCTACCAATGGGGATTATAATACAACACTATTAGTTAACATTTTATATAAAAAATATTAACAAACATTTGTTTCAAAACAATAACTTGCAAGTTGTTGACATATCCAACGTCTGCGTCCAACATTACTATTTGACCAACATGGCTTCAAAATCGCACGTTTGCCACAATAACACCTTGGTACATCATCGCATCCAGACATTTGTTAATATTTCAACTTAACGAAGAAATATTTCAGAAGACTTAGAGAATATTTATGAATGAATTTTTACAAAATCTTTAAACTCTTTAAATAAAGCAAAAACCAGTCCTGAGGTACAATTATTTGAGATATAGCGCCTTTTAAAAGGGCGCTATACCCAATTAAATTATTGTTATGTCAGTTAAGCCCAAAATAATTATTGATGGACCCACATAATATATATAGCGCATTTTAAAAGGACGTTATATTTAACTGGGCAAACGGCCATTAAGGTATAGTAAAAGGGCGGCATCAAGTTTTTTTCCACACATTCGAATTCTTTGAGTCCAAAAGAACCACATTTTAGTTCCGGACTCTCATTTAGTAAGAAGACAACAGAACATGATGGTTCCCAGTGTTTCTCCGATGGTCAAATCCTGCAATGATGTAGGATTTCAAGCTACAGACGGAGAATGAGATGCAATTTGAGCTCGTGTTGTCTACATTTTCGAAACGCCGTCTCAAGTAATAATTACACTAGTAAGTAGCTTCTTTTTAAGTAACACATAAAGTATGTTCTCCTAGGTACAGAGTAACACAAACACCAACGTTGAAGTGTTCGAAGTTGGAGACTATGAAATAGAGCTGGATTTTAGCTAGTGAAGTTCTCCTAGATACAGAGAAAAGGATACATCAATGCTGAATTCATGCCAACATAATTAAAATAGCACAACTTTAGTCTTCGGAGCAGTAGGGGACTTAACCTTTGCTAAATCATACGATCACAGCCCTTAGAAAAGAAGAAAGAAAAAGAAATCGATATGGTAGTAAATAACCCGTGACAGTCTTCACTTCCAGTTGTACCTATATATAGATACTCCGTTATTGTACTCCTCAGGAGAATCGATTACTTCCTCAAGGTGTGTAATATGTATTCAGCATACAGGTCCCTGAACAAACGTTATAACAATGCAACGGTCAGCATCTTTAAAGCATAAAACATTTGCTCAAGTTAGTATAATATCGAATATCATAAAAATGTTCCCCGCATGTAATAAACGTATGGAAGAAAGATAGTAAAGGAATCATATTAAATGAATGAAAAACAGGAAAACATCACAGGGTTACAGAGATACGTCATACGTACATGGAGTACTGAATGGCGTCGACAGCAGTACTAGGAGGCAGAAACTCGTCAACAGCAACCTCTTTGTTTTCATTCTTCTTGTCTGAAGACAGAGTTAAGAAATTCCTCACAGAAAACTTTCTACAGATTCATATTCGGGAGTCAATTAAAAAATTAAATTAAGAGGATACAATCTTCAAAGAAGCGGCGAATTTCAGCCAGGCGATGAGGGGGAAGCTGGTTTATGTTAGTGTAGTGGCGATATTCTGGATCATCAGCACACACTGCTATGATCTTATCATCTTTCTCTCCCTGAATTAATTGATGAAGAAAAATTTGTCATTGAAAGTCTAGTCTATAAAGAGGAAGTAACTGTTGAGCAAAAAATAGGAACCTGATCAATCATAGGCATCAGACCAATTGCCCTAGCTCGAAGGAAACAACCTGGGAGGACAGGTTCCTGTTGGAAAATTAAGTCAATTTCTGTTTAATTAGTCCCGGGAGTGTACAATAGGCTAGTCGCTAATGCAATAGAACATTTGCTGTTTCCCTTTACTGTAAATTAATTTACCAAGTGCAGTTTACATACCTGCATGAGGACTAATACATCCATTGGGTCGTTATCTTCACAGAGTGTTCGAGGAATGAAGCCATAGTTCTGAGGGTAAACCACTGAAGAATATAGGACACGATCAACCTGCTCATGCACGGAAGAGGTTTAGAAGGGAGATTAACAATGCTGCTATCAGATAAAACAACTAAGTATTCAACCAAAGCCAAGGTTGTCAGGTGATAATACCCTCATCCCTTAAAGCTACCTTAATTTAGATCATTGTGTCATACCTTAATGAGACCAGTTTTCTTGTCCAGCTCGTATTTGACTTTACTTCCCTTTGTTATCTCGATGACCTGTATGAAGAATGCATTATGGAGATCACAGCACCACCAAATTAGAGTTTCTACACAGACACAGATAATATAGTATTCTCATTTTTCTAATCTATTTACATGAAAGACTTAACGGTCCAAATAAACCAAAATCCCCCATAATCAAGATTAAAGAAGAAGAGGTTCTCAATTTCCTCAGCAGGACAAAAATTACCATTAACAATTAATCAAGAATTTGAGGAGTTTGGAACATTAATGACATATTGGATGGAAAATTGCCCTAATGCCAATTTTCTACTTCTATACTGATAAATTTTTGCGTTTTAGGATGTTCGTACTTTCATCATGTAATAAGTGGTACGATAATTGCCCGTTACGCAGATATAGAAGATTATTCTAAGTAAGATACAATTCTAATTTCCCAACTTTAATAAAAAAAAATGTGCCTAGGCCTAGGCCTAGGCTGGGGATTTCAGTTAGCTGCACATCTGTTGAACTTACATTTGAGGCTTGAAGAAGTTAAGACTAGATAATAAACAGGGATAAAAAGAATGATTTTACTATACTTACAGCATTGAAAACGCTTGGAGCTTCAGGTCCTACAAAATAAAAGCAGCATAAATATAAGGAATGATCAGATCTGCGTGCCAAAAATTTTGTGAAATTATGAATGATGAAAAATGTAGCGCTATATAGCTACCTATCTCGAGGTCATGCCAAGGATGGGCAGCAACAGACCTCCTGGACAAAGATGACAGGATCCTCTCATTCAAACGAGGGGCACGCTTTTGTGAAGATGCCTCATCACAGTTTTCATTGCTCATTTTTTCAGTTCTTGGTAAACCTGAAAGAATGAAAATGCACAATGGATCATTTAGGTTCATTTCATGAAAATGTAGTAGGAAACAATATGTTGGTAGAGGCGCCGACGCATCTAGAGCAAGCTCTTCAGATTCAATTGAATCCATTGCTTTCGTAAGAACTATGTATACATATGCCAAGTAATTAAAATGTTAAAATGTACTGTACTATACATTTAACAAGATTATACTCATTTTGAACTCAGTGACTTCAGATTCTAAATTCGCCTATCTATATTAAAATGTTAAAATGTACTGTACTATACATTTAACAAGATTATACTCATTTTGAACCCAGTGACTTCAGATTCTAAATTCGCCTATCTATATTAGACGCATGGTCGTTTGGTGTAGATATAATGCGAAAAAATGCATATTCATTCTAATCGAAAAGTAAGTTGACCATAGGGAAAATGGTAATGTCAAGCGGTATAAAAATTCCCCCAAAATATAAGTCCGAAAAAGCAGATGAACGAGGTGTGAGTATGTTTCCATATTTCAAAGCAATTACGGGTTCGAGCCGTGGAAACAACCTAAATATAAGGTAAAGATGCGTACAATAGTCCGACCCTTCCCTGGTCGACCAGGTAGCGGGAGCTTAGTGCACAGGCTCCCTTTTTTATTTCAAAGCAATTGAAACTAGAAAGTTCCTATTAGCTGCACTGTAGTTCTTCTCAATGTAGAAATTAGGATGTCATGAATCAGACCAAAACAAAATTTGAAGAGCAGAGTAGGTTAGCATGGAATTACTACAAGATGCAGATCTAAGCCTATAACTATTTTTTGCTCGAACTATGTTACATAAAGAAAATAAAATCAGTCATTCTGAACTAATTAATTCAAGATCTTGATTCGTCTGTTAGTACGTAAGGAAGCTACCAATTTTTTTAATTTTTTTTTGAGATGGTAACACAAGGGAAGCTACCAACTTTAAAACAAACGTAAGAAAATGAAAATCAGAAAAACATTTTGATGGGATGAATCGTACTGTACATGTAGATAGCAAATAATTATCACACTGGAAAATGAAGGGAGATGGTACTGATCAGGTCTCTTACCTTGGATTTAACGAAAAGAAATGAGCAAATAGATTGCAGGAGAGGAAGAAAGAAATGGTCAATGAAAATGTTATATTATACTTATAAATATAGACAGGATAAAGAAGTCCTTTTTGACCGAGAGAGAGATATATAAATCGGAATAGGTGAAAAGTGGGCTCCTAACCACGTGTAATTGACGTGGACGCAGTGGTTCCTTTTCCTTGAACTTTTCAACTTTCAATTCAATGTCTTTCCTGCTTTTAATGTCCCTCCTACGTTGATTTTCGATTTGCGTGTAATCACCAAACCAAGAGTTGAATCTATAATTTAAATTTTATCACCAAACCAAGAATTGATTTTATTATATTTCTGGTTTAAATTTATGGTTTAGATTCACCTTTTTGTTATAATTTTTATAAATTTGTATGCATTATTTTATACTTAATGCCGAAAATTATAGATTC